TTTTTATAACTTTGTTATACATTGACTTTATATAAGGGAATTATTTTCTCCCATTATAACCATATCCTATCTACCTGGAAAAAATTATTTCAGCATATTGGTATCACTGTTTCGGATGTTGGATGATGCGAAACATCATTTGAAAATTTTGGCGAAAAATATTCTTTTCAAAACTTTCTCTCTAAGTATGAACCTATTACATGTATTTATGTTAATAACCATTTTTTATATTGTCTTAGGTATCTTAAAACCAAGTGTGTTAATAGATTAGCCTTAGAATAAACTATATTTTTTTATTTTATTTTTAATTTAGGTTATGTCATGATTTTGCAAAACCAGGGTGAATAGAAACACTTTTTTTGGAACCAGTGGTGCAAATAAAGGTTGACCTGAAAACCCCCAAAAAAAGAAAAAAAATACCAGAGATGAAGATGATTCCACACACACTTCTCACTGGAAGAAAGTGACAAAGACGAACAATTTGATAAAGAAGAACCAGCATACCTAGCTCAAGACATCAGTGAGTCTTCAAAGTTGTCCCTTCATGATCATGTAATTGTCAAAGTAATGGGGAAAAACAAAACTTGCTAGCTATCATGTTGCAAAAGTTATTGAATTTGACGAGGAAGGATAAATAGGAAGATTCATCAAGAAAATTGCGCAAACCAACAAGTTCTGAGAGACAGATTAAGACTCTTCAAAGTCGATGACGTAGTACGTCGGCTTCCAACTCCCAAGCCGTGTACAACTTGAAAATTTAAGGGAGTGTTGTATTTTGAGGAAGATTTGTCTGATTTTACTCATCATTTATTGGTTTCTATGTAAGATTTTGTAATCGGATTTCACCCATTGTCATTTATGTTCTCCGATTTGTTTGGATAAGGGTTTATGAAAACGATGTTTTTATACTTCGTACTTATAAATAAATGTGTTAATTAACTTTAAATATTTTTATTTACAACAACGTAAGCTAACCAGCATAAATTTCATGTTTCTATTGCCCCTGGTAAGTGGGGAAAAGCAACAATCATCAATTTAACACAGTGTTTCTATTCACCCCAAAGTGCGGGGTGAATAGAAACAGCCATATTTTATTTTTTTTCTGCTTAATGATTAAAAAGAAAAAAAAATTGATAACTGGTTTGAGTAGAGGAGTCCAAGACCGGAAATAAGAGCTAGTGTTGAAAATTCAAAAATTAAAAATATCGTTTTTACAGAAGCTTAAAAGTCAAAAAGTGTTTCTATTCACCCCATTCTACGGTACTGTTACATACATCGTGAGTATCTCCATGAGTTACACACCGGTAATCTTTGAGTTGACTCTTTTAAACTCATTGTAAATATGACTGTTATTCGTTTTGAAATAACTCCTGTAATACTTTGCAATTGCTCGAATTCGAGCAACATGTACACTAGTATATATGAATTTGAAAGGAGGATGTTTTTGGCCTCTGAGGACCTCAAAACAAAAAAGTTAATCGGTCCCGGGTCTAGGTCTTACCATGAGACCTACAGTAATAGCTTATTCCGGTGTGGTCCATTAGTACCGAATCCAATAGTACCAAAAGCCAAATAAGTCCAATAGTGCCGAACTCGTTCGATGTTGTTGGACGATTTAAAACTTCTTTCGGCACTGTTGGACCCTATCAAAAATGATTCGGCACTAGTGGATTTAAAAGTGTAGGCCTATGGGTTCCAATAGTACCGAATTGTTATTTATTTTCAAAATCGGGTGCAATAGCACCGAATCCAACGGTGCTGAATCATGTTTTTGGTGTCAAATATCACGTTTGGCGTTGTTGGGTTTTAAAATCCAACAGCACCGAAAGAGATGTTTGGGTTTCAGAGCCGAAAGAATGCGGCAACAGTCCATTAGTGTCGAACAATAGAACATTCTCCCCCTTTTCAAAGGAGGAGTAAGAAGGGCAGGGCCGCCCCGAGGGTAATAGACGCCTGGGGCGAGATTTAAATTTTTGCCCACTCCCCAAAAAAGGTATTTGGGGAGTTTGCATCAATAGACCCAACGTCCGATATATCGGTATCGAATGTTTTGCAAGTTTTTTTTATAAACGTTACAACTGTCCTGAACTAAATTACTAAAAACATTAAATTTACGACTCACAACGGACAACACTAAACGACTATGAGTTGACGTAAGAGTTTGAGCTTTGAGGTTAGAAACATGCTAGTGTATGTGGGGCACTGAGCTATAATAAATAATAACTTTGTTGATAGGCCTAGTAAACAAAAATATGTCAACATTATGATTCAATTATAAGTTTATTTATTTGTTTACTATTATTATTTATTTATTAGTTCTTCAATCAAATGCCATAAGGCTACACCATTCATCTCTATGGGCTAAACCCGGCTAAACCCAAGCCTAAACCAAATAATATCTCCAAACCAGGAAACATGACTATTTTCACCATTAATCATAGCTTGAAAAGAGGAAAATAACAAGTATTTAGTATCAAAAACAATTAATAATGTTAAAAAATAACTTTGAATACACAGGTTTTAAGGTTCAACAACTTAAATAAGTTGAAGTCCATCAAATAAAGGATAACCCCAAAAATAGCATGGTTACTGGTTAGTTGTTAGGTCAGAATGAATTGAATTTGACAGCATCCAACCAACCGATCACACGGCCAACCTAACAACACGAAACACCGAAAACAAACAAGCAAAAACATTGGCACGTTTATCTCTAATGTTCAAGCAGAGAGTAGTGACTCCAGTTATATATTTATCTCAATGATGTGAGGCGTGTGGGCGAATACACAGTGTGTGTGTCTCGGACTCGCAGTATTGCCAACAAGTCACATGCTAGACGTAAAAGTAGTAATATGAGTTGTATATTAAATACAGTAACGGTATTTATTTTATGAATAAAACAAAAGCTATAGATTGCCTTTTTTAAGAATAGTCATTGATTACAATTCATGTTTACCAGTTTCCCGTAAAATATTTGTTTGCGGTTTACCGGTAACGTTGTTAAATTTTTAACCTTCCAAAAGGGGGCGCCGCCGCTCGCCCCGCCCTCGGGGCGGCCCTGAAGAAGGGGTGATTAAAACAACATGGCGTCAGTGCCCAAAGTCTCCGCCCACAGTATAGTTCCCCACCCACAGCACCTAACAGGAAGTGACAGTTGCAATGCCGCTGCATTCGACGGCGGAGCAGAATGTTTGTGCGCCAGCCATGGTATCGATTGGGGTATGAGGGCTAACAACTTAGGAATTTCTATTAACCACACCTCTCGCGTTGATTTGTAGTGAGTGAGAGATGGCTGGGCTTCTCGATCTAGTTTTTATGGCATGCACATAGTTTATTCCTCCTATGAACAATACCACAAACTTGGTCTAGATTTGATTTCGTAAATAAACTGTTCAATATTGACTTCAACCATAGTAGGATCAGTCATTTTACATGCACAAAACTTGCAAACCAATTCTCAGAAAAAAACTAAAAAAACAAAAGCACCTATCACAACGACAACGGGAAGTGAAATAGAGGAAAGCAATGCAGTACACAGTGTTGCATAGCCTAGATCATACGTTTCAGAGAACTCCTCTAGGGGCAGCAGTGATCACGACAATTCTACTGGGCGTTACCACTGGGTGGTGGTGGAGGTGGCACCGATGGCCGCGTATGCATTCTTGAAACTTCATTGGGTGCAGATCAGCCAACCGAAAGTCGGTCGGATTGAGATGTGGGAGAAGATTGATGGGGGTTCTATTGTTCGGCTGGTAAGGATTTTGTTTGCAAAATCGTGCAACAACGCCAAAATAAAGTTTCAAACGTCCAATAGAGCCGATAATACAAAGCGTTGGGTTTCGGCAGTGTTGGATTTATTTTGATTTCGGAGCTATTGGAATGATTCTAAATTCGGTACTGTGACACATTTTTAGTGTTCGTTCCATGGTGTTGGATTTTAAAATAAATATTTCGGCTCTGTTACACAAACATCTCTTTCGGCGCTATTGGAATTTAAAATCCAATAACATCGAACATGATATTTGGCAAATTGGGACTAAAAACATTATTCGGCACTATTGGATTCGGTGCTATGGCACCTTCTCGCTTATTCCCTATATGGGAATTCTTCTAGTTCAAATATTTAGTTTATTTAGTCATTTTAATACTTTAGATTATTATAATAAATCAATAGTCAATTTTAAATACCCCAGCCGCAGCAAATCTGCAGACTAAGCAAATTTTCATTTGCCTGATTGGATTTACACTTTAATATCTCCTTAAAAATATCACATTTATTCCCTATTTAAATAGCATTAGTTTAACAAGTACTTAGGTTTGCTGCAACAGACAGGGTAAATGTGTTTTTTTGTGTTTTTTTTTTATGTTAATAGTTAAGTATGAAATAAATGCATTTTCCAAATGTAATCAAAATATGTTCATAAACAAGCAAACTACAACAGTTTACTTATTCTCCATAAGTATGTAGTATTTAATATACATGGGATTTTATATTTACAATTTTTTGTAATTTTTTCCGTAACTATTAGACGCATAACGACCCTTCAGTATACTAAATTATTTGGTTTTTTTTAGCTCTACAAAATGGTTTGGAAAGAAATTGCAAAATGTTATGTTTTTAGGATCAAAAATAGGAAAAACCAATTTTTACCACGTAAAACGCCTCATAAACCACCGTTCGCATAGTCCGATCATGCTGGTTCGCGAACTCGTTCGAACAAATGTTGGTTTACACGTTTGTACCATATTTAATCAAAATCGGATCATTTTTGCTCGAGTTATCGTGCTAACAGACACACATATATATATATAAATTTGAACGGTTGGTGTTTTTGGCCTCTAGGGACCTCAAAACGAAAAAATAAATTGGTCCTGGGTCCAGGTCTTACCATGAGTAATAGCTTATTCCCTATATGGGAAATTCGCTAAAAAAGACGATCAATATGTTACAGTATCTGTTTAAATTGATGTACTATCCTAACATTACTATGCCTTTCCAATAGATGATGCCAAACTTATCTACCAGACGTGCGGTTTTGAAACTGCTTGGCATCCAAAGAGCCCATCACCTTGGTGCGGACTTCTCTCCAAGGATGACTTTGAGGTTATTATCTACTAAAATGTATTAAATCCATGAATTGTTAAAGCAGGAATTCCAGTTATTTGTGTGCCTTTTATCTTTGACTATTGATACACACAACTAGAATCTCATCTCCATGGTTATTTGCTGATTTTAAACTGGGCCAGCTTGTTTTAACATATTTAATTAAATTAGCTTTGTTATTATTTTCTTTGATATTACAGTATTTAACTTTATGGTAATACCTATAATAAATGTAGCAATTTATTATGTATCAAAATAAAAAAATCCTAATCCCTATTATAATCCTATTATATCAGTTTAGTGTGCGTGCGTTTGTGTGTGGATGTAAGCCTATACAGATAAACTACAGGCTACACCTGTGGACAAATCTTTATGATATTTGGTATGAGGGTCTAACCATGTTGTCTCCAGGCGTTTTTTTTTTTTATACTTATTTTGTCTGAAAGTTTGATTTTTAGTGTGGGTTTTCCCATAAAACAACAAAAAAATATAATTTTCTTATAAAAGACTCGAACTATTTTGATAAAAAATTAGTATATTATGGTCCATTTGATTCTAAACAAAATAGTACCCAACCCCCAATGCTTAACAAATCACAGTTACAAAGTTATTGCAATTCTTATGATTTTACGTGCAAAATATGGGGTCTGACTTAGGGGAGGTACGAATGAGGCATTTAGTTCTAAATTCCTCCGTGAACAGCGCTGTAGTAGAGAGCACTTTGGCAATGAAGGTTTACTAATCGCAAAAATAGTTCTGTTCATAAAATAAAATTATAAATGCCTCAAATTCAATTTTATTATTTTTTAATTATAAAATTAAACTATCATAACCTAACCGAACTAACCAAACTTGCTGATAAAGAAATAATATAACAAAAGTTTAGTAATCGGAAAAATAATTCTGTTTATTAAATAAAACTAGAAATTGCTCAATTAAAATTTTATAATGACTTAATAATAAAATTAAACTGTAATAACCGAACCAAACCAACCAAACTTGCTGATAATAAAAACATCTTGGACAAAAAGTTAATGCTACCAGCGGGATTCGAACCCGGGACCTACAGTATATCAGCCCAGCACGGTAACCATTAGACCACCGAGGCCGATGGCTATTGTCCGTTTTGTTACGGTAATGGCGTTCCCTCAGCTAATAAGAAGCCCACAGCTGTCATCGTAGCCTCTTCTATACCTCCCCTGAGTAAATACCCAAAATATGCAGGGTGTATACCAACCGGGAAAACCTGAAAAAACCAGGAACTTTGGAACAATTACAAATATACAAATGTGATGTGAGAAAAAACTTAAGCTGTAGCCCTTGAATTGTTTGTATTTTATGCGAAAGCAAACATTCGCGCAGGAATTAATAAAATGTTCATGCGAAAAACATTCACACAGGAACCTGGAAAAACTTTGAAAAACCAGGAAAAACCTGGGATTTCACTTAAAAAAAATAGTATACACCTCGAATATGATAGTTACTCACACTGCTTATCCATAAGGGTTGTTATTAAGCTTGTGGTAGAAGGTTATGTGCCAGTTTGCTGATGCCGTTTATTATGTTAGTAGATGTATGAAAAAATCAAAACCCCTTATGTTAGAGGTAGTTATGCATACCATATACATTATAGTCCATGAGCCAACTAATATTTTGGTACCACCTGGGGGGGGGGCAAATGCAGACTATGTTTTTCTTGTATAGTTTTATGTGTAGATCAAGAATATATGTGATAGCAATGCATAAGTAGTAGCTTTATGTAAAAAAGTACCTAGGTTTTTATAAAACAAAATTGAATTTTATCTCAAAAATTGAGTTTTGTCTCATAATATATTTGTAAGAAGGTACCAGTCAAGGTGGCGGCATGTGCTATCAACGTTTTTCTTGTATAGTTTTATGTGTAGATCAAGAATATATGTGATAGCAATGCATAAGTAGTAACTTTATGGAAAAATAGGTTTTATGAAAAAATAATTGAATATTTCCTCATAAATTTGTAAAAAAGTACCAGTCACGTGCTATAAATTTTGTTATTGAGTTTTGCATATAGATCATAAATTTACATTAGCTATAGCAATATCTATTTAGTAGCTTGTTCTAAACAAAATTATTTTAAATTTAAAAATACCCCCGTCGCAGCAAACCTGACAACTAAGCGAATTTCCATTTGTCTGAATTGATTTTCAATTAAATATATTTAAATAACATTATAGGTCGAGTACCTAGGTTTGCTGCTACAAGGAAACTAATAAAGTGTGTTTTTTAAAATATTAATAGCTTAGTACAAAATAAATAAGTTTGCCAAGTTTGATCAAAATATATCCATAAACAACCAAACTACAATATTTTACAATATTCTCCATAAGAATAACATGGGAATTTTAAATTTACAATTTTTTTAATTTTCTCCGTTACCAATAACCGTACAAAAATACTTTTATATACTAAATTATTTGTTTTTTTAAGCTCTTTAAAAAGGTCTAAAGAGAAATTGGGAAACTTTGTGTTTTGAAGGTCAAAAGTGAGAAAAACCAATTTTTACCCCATAAAACCCCCCGTAAAGCCCTGTTCCCATGGTCCGATCATGCTGGTTCGCGAACTCATTCAAGTTTATCCCGCTTTACACCTTTAAACCAAATTTCATCAAAATCAGACAAAAATTACTCAAGTTATCGTGTTCACGGACACATATATATATATATATATATATATATATATATATATATACATATATAAAAATTTGAACGATTGGTGTTTTTGGCCTCTGGGGACATCAAAATGAAAAAGTAAATCGCTCCCGGCCTTAGGTCTTACCATGCCACCTACGGTAATAGCTACTTCCCTATAGGGAAATTCGCTAATAAAAAAAATTTGGGTTGAACAACATGTTTTTGGCATGTAGATTTATAAAAAGGACTCCTGTTCAGTATTAAAGGCATCTCAGTGAGAGTTATGATCTACATACAAAACTCAATAAAAAAATTGATAACGTGCCCCCTTGACAGGTACCTTTTTACAAAATTATCAGAAAATTTTAATGTTTTGAGAAAAAATTAATTTTTTTTATATTAAAAACCATTTTTTAAATAAAGCTACTACTTATGCATTTTCTATCACATATATTCTTAATCTACACATAAAACTATACAATAAAAACATTGATAGCACGAGCCACCTTGACTGGTACCTTGTTACAAAATTATCAGAAAATTTTAATGTTTTGAGAAAAAATTATTTTTTTTTATATTAAAAACCATTTTTTAAATAAAGCTACTACTTATGCAATGCTATCACATATATTCTTGATCTACACATAAAACTATACAATAAAAACATTGATAGCACGAGCCACCTTGACTGGTACCTTGTTACAAAAATATGAGACAAAACTCAATTTTTTAAAGAAAAAACTCAATTTTGTTTATAAAACCCTACTTTTTTTACATAAAGCTACTACTTATGCATTGCTATCACATATATTCTTGATCTACACATACAACTATACAAGAAAAACATAGTCTGCATTTGCCACCCCATTTGCTACCAATTAAGGTAATTTTTAGGTTTGGCTCATGGACTATTATAGAAAGATAAGATTTGATTTGTCCAAAATTACTATTCCTATCTATGATTTAGTAGATCTCCCTGTATTCTTATCCTCCCCCTGTCAGGAGACAACCAGCAGGCAATGGCAAAAGCTAGGACATTCTATTTTGACCATTTAGTTCACAACAATAGCAAACTTTGGCTGAAAGGTCTAGATACCTGGGCTCTGCCTCTGCATATGTAACCACAATTCTTACGCAGTATTGTCTCAATAATTTCTATCTGCGCTAGATACTCGAGTTCGCTTCAGACTTGGACTATTACTGGATTGATGGTTATGGATTCCCCATCAATTACCAACAAGCTTGTGTAGCTGTGAATGACATGTTTCAGCATCTAACGTAAGTTATATTGTGGGTATACTGTGATGTAAAATAAAACTGCTTTTAAATACTATGTATTTAGAAAAGTGTACACACTGTTAGAGGGCAGACCAGGCTTAACCAAGTGTTAACCTACCTGTAGAGAAGTCAACTCTCGTCTCATCCTTGGTCAGTCTGGGGATGGTAGTTCTTATTGCTAATACTTCTACTGTTTTCTTGTGTGCATTGGTAGGTTCCGTTATTGACATGTCCAGGATGGTTCTTCTGAATAATGACTTGCTAAAAAAGAATTTCTCTGTCCCCATAACTTATCGTTTGAAATAATAAATAGCTCAACTCTATATCAAGCTATAAAATCTTTTATTAAAAATAATATGTTATAGATGTTGAAATATCCAGAATCCGTTTCAATCGTCATGCTGGGATATTACTTAACTTTGCATGGCAAAAGGGACGATTTTAATCCTTGCTTGAAAATTTAGAAACATGTGATCTAGCTCAGCAATCATTAAAAAAAATGTATTTAATATAACCTCACTACGTAATGAGATTGTTCTTGACCTGTTTTGCACTTCATGATACAAGATATAATAACATAACATGACGGTGCTAAATTTTAAATATATTATATTTGTCTTACCAGTTCAGGGGCAAGCCACAACAATGACCAAATTTTTACTCATCAATAAAATATTAACCTGTCATTTTTGAAGCTTGGCCATACATACAAATCACATTCATTAATATTAATAGTAAATAATGCAAAATAGAGAAATCTGTATAATGAAATAAAATATGTATTAAAGTTTCAAAATATGCGTCGACCATTAGCAATGAAATACGAGACATGTTTTTTAAGTACCGTTTTTAAATTTATCCGTTCCAGCGCTGTGATTGGCATTTTGGACATTTGTGCTGTGTAAGTGCATCTATTGGCAAGCCTGCGCCGGAAATTCGGCAACAATCGGCCATGTTTACATCCGGTTTTGAGCATTCAAAATGGTGCCGCCAATTGAGACTGCTGCCCACTTTGAAGTGCGCACTGTAATTAGATTTAAGTGCTAAATGTGTGAAAGCCATTAAAATTCATCGACAGACTAGTAAAGTGTATGGCGAGAACATTATGAGTGATGGAATGGTACGCAAGTGGGTAAGGGCATAGACGGCCGCACCAACGTTCATGTTGAGCAGCCACTGGGCGGCCATCTGTCATTACTGATGAATTGGTACGTAAAGTCGATGAAAAAGTGAGAGAGTTTACCATCTCATAATTATCTGAGGAGTTTCCTTTACTCATAATGTTCTCGCCATACACTTCACTAATCTGACAATGCCCTTCACACCTTTAGCACTTAAAAATCTAATTCCAGTAGGCGGTAGTCTCAATTTGCGGCACCATTTTGAATGCTAGAAACCGGATGTAAACACGGCCGATTGTTGCCAAATTTCCGGCGCAGGCTTGCCAATAGATGCACAGACACAGTACAAATGTCCAAAATGCCAATCGCAGCGCTGGAACGGAGAAATTAAAAAACGGTACTTACTTAAAAAACATGCCTCGTACTATCCTTCAAGAAGCAAAATGCTTATGGAGAAAAGTCAGACTGGAGTTTTGCCGCAGAAATGAGCTTTGTGCGGCCGCCGTGCTACTCTGTTTCTCTAAACCGATTCTTTGTCTTACTCTCTCTCACTCATTCAGCTGACTTGGCTGCACACCTGGGATGCGAAGGTAGCACCTTTGCTACCTAGCAGCCGCTGTGGGAACTATCCAAAATTAAAATATTCCCAGACTGAATTTTTCACAAATAATTGCGCTTCTTATAGGGTTTGTATTCATTGACACTAGTGATATGATATCTAGTATAAATGGCTGTACTAAGCTATATGCTGTATGTTTGCTATTTCAGAGATGAAAGGTATCCTCAGAATACTTTTTATTTCACACATTCTGGAACTATTCTCAAAGTTTTGTCATACCTGGGACTGTACAAAGACCCTCAACCTTTACAAGCAGATCTGTTCAACAAGTCTAGACTCTGGAGAACTTCTCAGATTGACGCCTTTGGTAGTAACTTGGCCTTCATACTTTACAAGTAAGGAAACTCAGTTTAGATTTATTACTCGCTGATAATTCACTAGGTGATGGCACCAATAATGTATTGTATTAAAACAAATACAAAGAATTGAATCATAAGTTATATCCTTGTATGAAGAAGAAAAAAAAATTAACTTGTTCAAGGACATTTGTACTAAGCCAATATGATTGCAACATTTGGATGTACATACAATTGGCCATCAAAGCACTTGGTAAAAATTGGAAGGATTTTTACAGTAACATCTTGTTAACCGCAATAAAAATCATTATCTTGGTTGATTATGTCACTGATAAAAAATATTATTAGGCCTACTGCATACAGTAATATCAATCTGTCAGATATGGTTCAAGTTGTAAAATACCCCCGCCTGACTCCTTCACAGAAGAGGTTCACATCGACTTCTGAACAGGCGCTTTAGAAACGCTAGTCTCCGCGCGCAGTGTCACATTTTGATTTTGCCCCTACTCGAATAGTTGAAAACTCGGACAATTGATATTTTGATATTTTTTTAAATAATTTAAAAACTCGGACAGTTGATTTAACGAAATATTATTATTATTTAAACCATGATACTCGGACAGTTGAAAACTCGGACACTTGATATTTCGATATTTTTAAAAATAATTTAATAAACTCGGACAAATAAAAACTTGGACAGTTGATTTATCTAATTATTATTAGTTATTTATCAAAACTCGGACAGTTGAAAACTCGGACAAATGATTTTTCAAATATTTTGTAATTTTTATCAAACTCGGACAGTTGAAAACTCGGGCAAATGATGTGATCCCTATGGATCCTATTAAATTCCAACAAAATGTAAGGTTTTAATTAAAAACCTAGTACACTCTTGTTTTTCAACCAAATGTGGTTTATACTATATTTTTCTTAATCCTTATGAAATTCTCTATACCTTACAATGCTTTTTAACATTTTTTCAGAATTTTTTTTATTAATGTAATACTCACAAATTTATAAAAATGTATATACAATTTTGAAAGTAAGCCATTTTTTTTCATTCATAAAAATGTTGGAATGTTTTAACTTTTATATATTTGTATAGAATATTTAATTCTCTACATAGAAAACTTTGATTTAATTAAATACAATATTTAGTTTATTTTTTTACACAATATTTTCTAAAACGCTACAAGTGGTAAAATGTTGGCAAAAACGCGCCCACTTGTCTTTTTTTAATTTCTGTAGACATACATCTCTTGGTTATCAGAATAAACATAGCCAAGTTTCTAAAAAATGTAGCCCACAGTAGGCCTATGTATTTAATTAGATTTCTTGGTATGTAATATGTATACCTACAAAATAAAACTAATAAACTAGGCTAACTTAGCATGCAGTAGCGGAAAACCAGTAAGCTATTGTAGGCTAACTTACCAATGAGAGAAGATGTAGGCTATGTAATTTCCATTGTCATGTTCATTATAGTAACTGTTTAAAACATTTTTTAAAAGTCATATTTACACTATTTACAGTTCTTCTTACACTATTCTTCTTTTTCTAATAGTCCCTTTTAGTGTGGTACGCTTCAAAGCACGTGTCCACATGGGCGACTTGGCATTTCTTGCATATAAGTATCGTGTCTCTGACCGTATATTATTCTTAAAACAAACCTTGCAGTTTCTTGTGGGGCGGTTTTTCTTTCCAGTTGGAGGAATAGCCATTGGAAAATGTGCCCAAGCTTTACTTTGTAGGCGCAGGGGATTGTCCTGCAAAGAACGGCGCCCCAGAGAACTTTTTTCTGGGAGTGTGACGTTTTCAATCATTTGTTCAACAATATTCAGTCTGTAGTCAGAGTAATGCATTTTCTTTTGATGAATCTTCCTCCAAATGCAGAACAAATTGAAAATCGCCATGTCAATCAGATAAAAAAAAAATTTTTATAAGATTTGACACAGCGCCTCATAATTGTGTGGGATGCCAAAAACTGGTCTTGCACATCCACACCTAGCATGCCCTTGTTGTATTCAGTCACTGTAGGTTTCTTTATTTGTATTGTTTCCCCCCTTATTATTATTTCTTTATCAACAGCAAACTAAACACCTTCAAGGATTGTTGACAAAACGTGTACATATTTTTTATCAAGCCATCTTATTGCTAATACCCTACTGCAGCTTCTTCTTACAGCTTCACCTCTTTCCAGTTCCATATTTGGAAAATCATCTGGCATATTTGTTCTCTTGTAATCGACTGTTCCAATAACATGGGTATCTCTAGCTAGTAGCATCTCACATAGTCTCGGTGACATATACCAATTGTCAATGTAAAGCCTATAGCCCTGATTTTGTATAGGTTGTGTAAGGTTCAGTACAACAGCCTCGCTGCACAGCAAACCAGGAGTTTGGTCTTCTCCAGTGTAAATTTTAAATGCAGCACAATATCCCGAAGATGATTCACACAGTTTATAAAACTTTACACCAAAACGTGCTCTTTTTTTTATTGTATTGAATGTAGCTCAAGCGAGCTCTAAGTTTCACTAAACTTTCATCTACTGCTACATCTTGTTCCATTGTATAGAAGTCCATAAACTTATTTTCTAGGTAGGAAATTACCGGTCTCAATTTCTTCAATTTATCTTTCGGATCTGTAAAATCAGAATCAGAGAAATGCAAAAATCGTGAAATAAGACAAAACCGCTTAAATGTCATGACTTCTGAAAAAATAGTTGTTTCTACAATTTTCCTAGTTGACCAGTACATCTTTATCCTTGGATTTTTTACCTGGCCCATTAGAATATAAAGTGCCAGATATGCTTTTATTTCTGGCACTCTTAACTGGCACCCACAACTTATCATCAGCAAGCTTTCTTCTATTAGGGTCATTCAATTGTTTATTTGCATAATCATTTGTCTCAACACACAACATAGAATAAAACTCATCCCCTAAAAACTGAGATAAATTGTCAAGTTGCGAGGGGGTGTTTCCCAGTCGACGTGCGTAAATTGGATTTAGGCCGGGGGTAGCAACAAATGGAATACAGTAGAACTCCGATTATCCGAATCAATAGGGACCAGACCCCATTCGGATAATCAAATATTCGGATAATCGGAGTTTTAGTTCCCGGAATTCCGGGAATTTTAAAGATAAATCCTAACTTTTAATTAATAATAAATTAAATCAGAACATTTTAACAGTTTACAATGCTCTTAGTACAAGTGTTCTATACATGTTATTAAGTTAATAGTTTAGCCAGTGTGTAATTTTGGTGTTCCATCAAAGTCCAAAATTACACACTGGCTAAATGTGTTTAATAACAATTCTTTGATATTTTGCAAAACTTATTACTGTAGCTTTACGTTTTTAAAATTGTTGAAGCAAGCGATTCGGATAATCGGAGATTCGGTTAATTGGAGTTCGGATAATTGGAGTTCTACTGTAGTTTTAGGGACATTGTCTTTATCTTCCCAGTTCCATTGTGACTTTTTTTTATTTATTTTCTTTTTTTTTCTTAGCCCTACTTTTTTTTGGTTGTCTTGTATCGGTATTTCTTCCTACTTTTCTTTTTGAAGGCTTATTCGTTCGAAGAGTATTAGGTTTAGGCCTACTTGGTCCAGGCCTAGGAAATTCAATTGACTCAGGAACAGACATAGATGTAGGCCTAGGCCTAGTTTCAATTGACTAAGAAACCAAAGGTACAAGACTGGAACTATCACCTTGTCCCATTTCGATTCCAATGTCCATATCATCAATAGGTACTTCATCAAAACCTACACTATCACTTACAGCCTCACCTTGGTCTCTGTCTGAATTGGCTAACCCATCTTCACCATCTGATTCCAAAATATCCTGAGGATCCAGCTCTTCAATTTCCCCAAAACAATCGCCTTGGTCTGAATTGGCTATCCCATCTTCACCATCTGATTTCACAAGATATCGAGGATCCAACTCTTCTACTTCCCCAAAACAATCATCACTAGAATCGCTACTACATTCTTGGTCACTGTCACTTTCCTCAAATAAAATTCTATCTATTTCACTGGAATATAAAAAATCATCCCTACGAGCCATCATATAACCTTCAACTACGGTAAAACATTTCCGAAAAAAAATTCATCTTCTGTAATAGAACAACAACTAAAAACTAACAAAACACTATTGAAAAAACTGACACTTCATTGTTTTATTCGTCATAAAATCTAATATAAACACACTTATTATTTGAAAATGTAGACACTCGTAATGTTTACAAACATGTAACACAATTTTGTTATTTACAATTGTGAAAGCTGACTAATACACCGTCACTAAGCTAGCGACGTAGTGACCAACAGCTGCGAACGAAATAGGTCCATATTACGCAATCAATATAAATATTACGGCATATAATAATTGACTTTAAATAGCTTTTTTATCAAATTTGATGTTCTATATAGCCCTAAAAGTTGTAAAAAGCTACTAAAATAATGTTTAATGCAAGGAAAAAGAATAACAATAAAGTATGTCGTCATCACGAGATAGCTCGTGATGGTGGTTTTGGGCCACTTGAAGCCATCACGAGTATACTCGTGATAGGTCGCCAATGGGTTAAAATACCTACTATGTATGGTCGCCATTTCATTGAACAGTATCTAACAGAATAGTATTTGCAATGTTACATGTCATATATATATAGCCCATTCACTTCATCCATTCATTTTAGTTATATAATTCTACTTCTTTTATTGTACCAAAATTCGCCATATAGCCTATTTAAATAAATTATCAGAAAATTTATAGTAGCCTACATTTAAATTCTATTATCCTTTAATCACCCCTCAGAAATCATCATCACATTTTAAAATATATTGTATATATTCTACAAATATTATTGTTAATAAAAACTGTAACCTGTAATTAAGTCCATAGTTGCAATAACACTTTTATCCAAAATTATTAATATAGTATAAATTATTTCTAAAACCCCAACATTGAATTATATTATCCAAAAGCCTGATTATTTAGTGCATGTGCAAGTGATAAAGGAAGAAGACAGCTGGCTTCAACAATGAAGTTTGATCATCCTGTGTGAAACTAAAATTTTCCTCCTTCTCTATTGGGACATGGCAGCATCAACACCTTAAATTCAGTGAGGGTATAATCCCTAACATTTAAAAAGTCAAAGTGATAAAAATTATTTAACTTAACGCTAACTTAACAACAGAAGAACAGTTTAGCTATATATATTTTATTTTTCTATTTTGTACTGCCACCTCAAGATTTATATTAATTGGACACTGTTACTGAAGATCTGGTGAGAACTCTCCATTTTGTATAAGGCTTAGCCTAACTTCAAGAAATTTAACTTAATACAGACCTATTTTATTTACTTTCTGATCGAACCTAATTATTTTAATTCAAAAACTACTTTATTTTCATCAAGAATAATTCTAGAAAAACAATTTGAACAAGAGAACTAAATTCAACTTTGATAAATTTTTCACCTAGTCTATTCATTGTTGGACTATTTAACTTACCTATCCAAGCCTAAGGGCAATATCAAAATTATACCATTTTTCATAATTGACATATTTTATTTAATAAATTGAAATATTTGAAGATCTTTTGAGTCAGCCGAGTTCCCCTCCCTGAGAATATATGTAGTTAAACTTATTAATTTATTTGTAAACTCATTGTTCTGATTTACTGAGCTAGGCTAACCAAGATGGCGGCCCTGTATCTGTTCATTTAAATATCAAACCCCATTCATCATTGTAATATCCTAACTTATTGTTAGTTCATTAAATTTGTAGCCTATTGTTAAGGAATCCTTCAGCTTAATCATTTGTCTTTCTATAAGTATATTTAATCTAGGCTTAATTTAGCTTAATAAATAGTAAGTAAAGGTACAAACCTGAACCAAGTTTTATTAGTCAAAATTACAAGCACTACCAATAACAAATTTTGTAAAACATATTCAACCAATTGGGTAGTGATAACTCATTATAAACGCAGTGTTTTCTTTTAGTATCTAACAGAATGTAACCTGTTTTTTTTTTCTTATAACCCTCCGAGTGTTATTTGTTGCTGCAGCGACACATAACACACTTTGTGTAGTGTTTTGTGTCGCTGAAGCGACTCATAAACACTGTTTACGGCGAAGGCTCTATGACTGACAAAATCGGATTGAACTGGATCGAGTTAGGTATTGTTTTATTTGACAGATTCAGAGCTTTCTCCGGAGGTCTGTCTCTAAGCGCTATTCATTTTAGTTCCGAAAATATTGTAGCAGACAGCTGACGTGTGTATTTGTAAACAGCTTGGTTATAACCTCGGACCGATGACTGATGTGTTTTATTACGTTTATCATTGTTTTAGTGTTAAAAATCAAAAGTAGTGATATACGTGGTGCATTATAAGAAGATTTAAGTTATTTTGAAGGGCTGGTTGATGATCCTGAAGAAGTAGGTAGTGATATTGATGTAAATTATCAGCCAGATTCCTAGCTATGGTTAGGCTATGCATTCTTTGATAAACGCTATGTACTGAAATCTGTTTTTTGCCCATAACTTATTTATTTGCAAATCTACTTCCTTATATTATTATATATTTGTAATCCTCATAAAATTTAGAACAAAGTGGCTATTTTCAAATATTTATAGGCCTATAATTTATACAATTTCATTGAGCGCAAACCTTTTTTTTTTGACAATTTTCCAAAATATTTTTTTTTCCTAAAAAGTTTTTTTGAATCAAATGTTCCTTATGTTCTATGTATAATATTGAAGCCCATGGTTTTCCAAACAAAATGGCATATAGAACAGTATAATTAACATTGTTTTCAAGGTTCTCAGATCCGTTTTAATAAAACCTTGCAAATGAGCAAAAAATAGGCAGACATTAAGGCCAAAACAAGGGACACTCAGAGGGATAATGGTTGAATATTTTCATGTCAAATATTTCAAGATATTAATTAACTTGCTTGATGTTTATAGGTGCAAAGATGGAGACAAGATCCTGACTCTTCATCAAGAACGACCTGTCACACTTCCTGGTTGTCCAGAGGGTGACCTTTGTCCGTTGGAGACTCTCAAGAAGGTTTACCAACATAGCATCAACGAGTGCAACTTTCAGAAACTCTGTCGGCTTGATAGAGATTTGTGATCCTAAATTGCAAAACCTAGATTATTTACTCCCATTTAGTAGCTTCAACAAAACAATGTTTCATAAAAAACATGAAATAACAAGAATTTTTACAAATAAAATTCAAGTAATATCAATTATATTAAAAGCTCTCAAACCTTCTTGTCAAAGTGAATGAAGTGAATGATGTAGTAACTGTTCATGGGACTTTAGATTGTAAATCAGTTAAAAATATTTGAAATGTGAATTTACTATTTATGTACCTGAAAATGTGACTTATTTTACACTGTAAACGATTGCATTGCATTTTTGCTCTGCTGCCCATCCGGTGATTTTATTGTTGAATGTTGATAAACACAAAGTTTTGCCTTTTTCACAGAGAAGAAAAGATAAAAGGGTAGTACATTATTGTTTATTAAACCACCCCAGTTGTTGAGTCTACATATCCAGATGACAGTGTCATCAGACTTATCCACAAAATATTGTTCGTACTCTATATTGATACCTAGCTGCATGGCATCGTATACATATCCTTTCTTCTTTGTGCATCTCCATGGTGGAAAATGCATAGGTGTGCTATTCCCCCCGTCATTTGCTGACATCACCCAGATTGCAAACAATCAGCTGATTTATTGCCATATAAGTATATATTTGTTTTGATTTGATTGTTATTGTTTTTATAATTTTTCTGATAAAATGGTGTTTGCATTCTGAGTGACGTCGGCATATGACGGGAATAGCACACCTATGTATTTTCCTTCCACCATGGTGCATCTCCTATAGACTTTAAACTATAAATATACTACATGTAAATCATTGATTAAGCTTTACTTAATTTTGTTATGTACACGTGTTTAACACGTTCGCTACCACAATTATATGGAATTTACGTTCGCATAGACCAGCGACGCAATTGTGCGTCGACTTGTTTCTCACAATAGACCACCGACGCATATTTGCGTCAGCTGGTCACATTGAAATAGACTAACGACGCACTGTTGCGTCGGTGTTCAATGTTATTAATCAGGGTATTTCTTAGCAACGGTCTATTTTAAAGCCCTGATTTTATCATATCGGTTTAGAGGGATATCTGCCGCAAATGTGCGTGTCGCTTGGTCTGTGGATATGACGATTGGTTACGTCACACAACAGTTGGCAACATTGTTGTTTACATTGTGTATTCCGCGACATCACAGAACAGATGTAAACGTTATAACCTTTGTAGTTTTGGCTAGTGTTTATTGGAGTTTCTTTATTGGTTTGTGTAAAAGCTTGAAACAACCAAATTTACAACGACGCTTACGTGCGTCGCCTGGTCTATTGAAACGAAAATGTAATCTTTTTAACTGGATTTCATTAAATAGACTGACCGACGCATATATGCAGCGTTTAAAAATTTGCTCAAAACAATACATAAAAACAATATTTATTGCTTACCAATTCACTTAAGGTTATTATGAAGTCAATTAGTCCATTTAAACGATATTTCTCTTTTGGTCTGTCGGCAATGTTATTCCTATATCACTTGGTCTGTAAGGAACGTCATGATCATTCCTTTTGGTCTGTAGGAGTGACCGGACCGACGCAAATGTGCGTCGCTCGGTAGCGAACGTGTTAAATCACATTATTACCAAACCAATGTACAGTTGTTTAGTTGGTAGTATTCATAGCTATAATTTGAAATAAATCTATATTTATTTAATACGTTTGAAGTTATTGCACACAAGTTATATTTAGAACTGATGAATGATGTTGGTTGGCTTCAATAAATTGAGTATTAAAGTGTAGGTGATTTTTTCCAGTTTAATTTCAAAAAGAACAAAATCAAGTGTTTATGATAATATGCAGACCAAATACAAACAAAATTATTGATTGTTGGAAGTTAATTGGCATTTTAAAACACAATAAGGTATTGTTAAGTTACCTCTGACACCTTACTTGTTACATCCTAGTCTACCTTTACTTATTGCTTATTTATTCTATAACTATTATCAGCTGGTTATAATGTTTACTTGTTCACTTTGTTTTTGTGTTTGTGATAGTGTTTTGGAAGCAAATGCAACAGGTCTTTCGTTTCCATCTGGAAACACATGAGAAAGAATTGCCGAAATTCCAGATTGACTAGCATCTGTTGCTAGAATGAGTGGTAAGTGTGGGTCAAAATGGCATAGTATATTCTCTGACATCATTTCCTCCTTCACCAATTGAAAATCTCGTTCACATTCTTCAGTCCAATTAAAAGGTACATTAGCTCTTGTGAGATTAATAGTGGCTTGCATCTTTTCACTTAAGTTTGGAATAAACTTTCGATAGTAACTTATCAACCCAAGGATTTATCTAACTTCTTTCACATTACTTGGTCTCTTCAGGTTTCTTATTGCTTCAGTAATATGTTTACTTTTACTTATTCCCTTTGACGAGACATGGTAACCAAGAAAGTCAATCTCTGGTACAAGGAATTGAGATTTAGAAACGTTAATGTGTAAATCGTTGTCTTTGAACCGATTTAATACAGCACGGAGTCTTTTCAAATGTTCTTCCTCACTGTGGGCTGTTATTTTGACATCGTCAAAGAAAACATCAACACCATCAATACCTTGTAGAATATTTTCCATTGCTGATTGCCAAATAGCAGGTGCACTTGCAATTCCGAATGGTAGACGATTCACTCGATATAGACCTTTGTGTGTATTGATTGTGAGCAATTCTCTGTGTTCTTCTTTCACTGACATGTGTAGGTAAGCTTCGGATATATCAATCTTTGTCAATTTAGTCGAATTACCCATTCTGGCCAAAATATCATCAATGCGGGGCATGTTGTGTTCTGGTATTACCAAATGGGGATTGAGGGTTACTTTGTAGTCTCCACACAGTCTGATATTCCCATTTGCCTTCATAATCGGTACAACTGGAGTAGCCCAAGAACTCTGATTCACCTTTGTAATTATACCTTCTTTTTCTAGTCTGTCGATTTCTGCACTAACTTTTGGTAACAAAGCATAAGGTAGTGGTCTAGCTTTTTTAAAAACTGGTGTAGTGTCAGGCTTTTAAGTTAAGAAGTAAATCAAGTATTCATACCAACAAATTTTGGAGAAGTCAGAGAGGAACCCACCGAAGACCATGTAACAAATTATCACAACATTGATCCAGAGACCAATGATCCCAACATACCAGATGATCCAGAGACCAGTAACAACATATCAGATGTTCCAGTGGCACCAGCTTCCGCTATGACAGTGAGACGATCAAAACGGACACATAAACCCGTCGATAGACTTAACTTATGAAACTCACTAAGAAGGGGAGGTGTTACATCCTAGTCTACCTTTACTTATTGCTTATATTTATTCTATAACTATTATCAGCTGGTTATAATGTTTACTTGTTCACTTTGTTTTTAATTTGTGTTGAATGAAGTTGGTTAAAATTGTACTTTGACAAATACATTTATTATTTGTTCTAATTACATACAGAACATTACTGAAGCAGCAAAGCAACAGTGTGCTGAGGTATATAAAAATTCACTTGTTGATGCAAGACTATTACTCCGCTAAAAGAGGTCCTCTATATCTTTTAATATCTACTGTATTACAAGAGTTTTGAACTTTTGGTTATCAATGATATCAATCCAAACCAAATCAAAAGCTGGCAATAACTTGAATATATGATTAAGGAATCCAAACAGTGTTGTAAACAATTATTTAATTTAAAATCCTTACTACAATTTAATAGTTAATAATGTTTTGCTCAACGAAAACATTTATCTTTTGGTTGTAACTAGGGTATAAAACATTCAAATGTGATGGAGCTAAAAAATTTATAAATATAATGGAATATATAAATATAGGCGCAGTGATGAAGCTGTTGGCTTTCAACTTGCATTTCCATCAATGAGGCCAAGGAGAGCACTCTCGTAGTTGCCGCTTGCCTCGGCCTGCCAAAAAATGTCCTTTATTTTTATTGAATACTATATCATAGCATATTCAAGCTTCTGACAAAACTGACAGGCTAGTGACAAACAAGAATAAAATGACATAATGTGAAACAATACCATAATGAATGTGTTTACTAAAATATATATTTAAAAATAAACAATATATTTTTTGCCAACCAACTCACAACTATCCAACTAGATTTTCATTTAATATTGGTATCCAATTTCCAAAAGTTAATAAATCGATCAATAAAACTTCCCCCCCAATACATTGCAAAACTAATGTTCTCTAAATAACCTAAAATTTTAAGTATCCCGAACCTTGCAGTTTGCAAACATTTAAAAATCTAGTAGACAAATGATTAGTGGATTGATCGTTATCTTGTGTCATTATAATCTTAGGGTGTGTGTGCGTGTGTTGCCGTTGATGTGTTTGTGTGTTTGAGAGGGAGATTGAGTGAGTGAGATAGTTGCATGAGAAAGAGTGAGAGGGAGAGTCGGCTCGCCGCTGGCCCACAGGGGCAGAGCAGTGACGGCCCTTTGGGGCTACCAGACGCCTGGGGTAGAAGATGTATGAATGGTTTCCAAAACTCAGTGATTTTTGACAGTATTATTAAATCCCTTTTTACTGGATTTTTATCATTTACTAGCCGTTGTACCCGTGCTTCGCAACGGAAAGGACACTGAAGCAAAAAAATTTGATCTTGAATTCTGTTGTATAAAATATTTACACATTCCCCTTTGGTTTCAGGAACATAACTCAATTGAAATTCTTAGTTTGACAAATATCTTTCTTTAAGGCTAGGCTAACTTATAAGGCTACCTAGTACGAATTATATTAGGCGCTGATGCATTTATGGAAATAATGTACCCACACGATTCAATTTTCAAATGATAAGCTTTCTTAAACATTTATTTCGTTCATAAATGTACATATAAAGTAAATAAGGAAAAATAATCGCACAGTGCTAATGAGATTTTTTCAAAGTTCAATCTTTACCTGCAGATCAGTGTGTATATATCACAATGATAAGCAAAAATAAACTAATGGAAAACTAGTATTACCTTTTGTTAGAAAGCCTACTACTATTATTGTTAATCAGGGCACAAATTTCACCAATTTAAATATAAATCAACAACGAAATACATAACAGTAATTATTTTAACTCGTTACATAGTTCAAAACGTGTATGTATTTGCATTAAATTACATCTATAATATTAAAACGAAACAGTGTTTTTTTATTTCACGATTCTGAATCAACCACTCGACGGATTTTCATGATTTTTGTGTTGGAAGAAAGATAATTTTGAGAACTAGGGAATGTCGAAGCCATAAATTTAGTTTAGGGTCCCAGTTTTTTAGAAATTAAGTTTTAATTTTTAAAAAGTCTAGCAGCCGACGCTAAGATTCTAAAGTAGCTTTTGGCATAAAATAATTTGCTTAACATAACAGCTGTAAACATTCAGCTTTTGTGTCACAGATTCAGCATTTGGATAAAAATGTAAAGACATACTTAGGGTTAACTTATTTATACTATGTGTAATGCAAATCATTGATACGTTCAATTCTTCTGTAAGAGGATGACAGATTAATTAAATTATACATAGTAAAATACTAGGATGTTCAAATTATTTTTTTAAAGCAATCTTCGATTTGTTTTAGAGCAATATAATTTGTTTTAACTAACAGCTGGTTAAATATAAACTATGGAATTATGAGGTTATTTTATTTACTCTTATTTTGTCATTGATTATAGGAAATAAGTAAGATTTGTAGACCACCGAGATAAGTAACACCATCGATGTATACAAGTCGAGACTGTACACGAGTCTTAAAAAGAGGATATGCATATTAATTTACTGCTCAACTTTCTTAGGAAAGGGTAGTAAAATCCAATTTTACAAGTTTTAATTCATCTTGGTTTGTTTACAATCAATGTTTTTGAATGCTTAAACTTTGTTTGGATTAGGCCCGGAAATATTGGTGTCATAAAGGAGATCAAGAATCTTCAGGAGTACGATTTTAAATTACCACCACAACCTCAGACGGGTTTTAACCAAAGGTATATAGATGAATGATATAGATTGAGCACAACGTCAATTCCTAGGTCAATCTTTTATGAAATCTAAAAAGTTGTTTGGCGTGTGTTTAGTTGTGGTTAAGTTTGGAGGCTTTGAATATTTTATAGTTTAAATAAATGAATATGGGGAATTACGGTGTAAATTGATTCAATGAGGGTGGTTCAATTATTAAGGGTATTAGAACTGATAACGGAATGGATAATAAACATAGACAATTAATTACGTCACTAGCTTTACTTGCGTTTTTACGTTTTAAATTCCTTCAACATGTGACCAGTTAGTTCTTTTGTTCAAATGAATATTATTTAATTTTTGACTCAGCTGTTTACCAAAACAAACTATATGTTGTTGTTTTTACTTTTCTTTGTTTACACTTATTTATTTAGCAATTGATGCAGTGAAATTGATATGTGTGGATGATTCGTTTAATGATGTCAGGACACCAACGTTATAATTATGTGTACTGTGAATTTTATTGGATGTTTTCGTTTTATTTTAGGGAGTTTCTATTCAGACCTACTGGAAGTTGTGTATAGTATGAGTAATTGTATTGTGGTGATATTGATTATGGAAGGAGGCAGGTATGCGATGGAATTGGAAGGTGATATCGTTGACTAGGCCTATACACTTCTCAATTGATAATTACTCTTTCTGCTGTAGGCTGCAATAAAATTTGTCTTTATACGTGTAAGCTAACTGTTATGAATTATACACAGTTTTAACTGACTACTCCCGTACGTAGGACGGGCTAGCACCTCGTCATTATTTAAAACATCAAGTACGGTAAAGAAAAATAGTTACGTTACAGATTTTAGATAGAAAAGTGAATTGCTCGCAGCTTAGTTTTGTGATATTCTCCATAGTCAAATTAAAGTAGTGTTGTAAATATACAACTACTACGGTGATTTCTGTAAATTTAAATAAAGCGAATGTGAAGTAGATGATAGAATAAAATATAATTAGTAGAATATAATATAATTACCTCTGGACAGAATAAAAGTAGGTATAGTTGAAGTTTAGTTTGTAAATTGAATTAAAACACAAATAAAAGTGTAAACATTGAGTCAGTTAAATTTTTAAAACTGCACCAGTACATATTTCTTAGTTTTTAAAATCTATTAAAATCCTGATCCAAACATTTGTTATCAGTTCAAATTTGTAAACATAAAGCTACCATATCAAAAAAGTATTCAAAAATATTATACATTGTAATGATCCTCCTGTTTCCATGAAAATAAGTATATATTCATGAATATATTAATCAAACTATTTTCATAATCATAAAACTTTAGAATCTTGGGAGCAGGAGCTGTACCTCTTAACCTCTGCTGTTTGAACTGTCAAATTAAAGTATTTACAGCTGACTTCAATTAATACTTTTTACTATTTTACATTCTTCCAAAATGTAAACATTGAAACTTTGGAAGCCCATGGGGCGTAGCCATAGACAAAAGAGTAAATATAGACTGTCAAAGAAAGGTTTTGCGATCTGCCGCTAGAGCGTTTTTGCCGTTCGATATCAGTTATCGGTATTCGATTCGGTGTCGTCGTCGACTACTTGCCAGCTGTTACCAGCACTACCACTCTTGCAAACGAAATTATTACTATTCGCTATTGTCGTATTCTGAAATCGCGTCAAAATCATAAACATCTTCCGCGGCTGTGTAGACATCATCATTGAATGCCGTGGTCACGAAACGTCATCGTCGTCCACGATTGCAGCAAAATTGTGAACATCTTCAGCGGCCGTGTAGACATTATCGTCTTGCGCGATCGCAGAAAAGACGTGATCATTTTTCCCGTGGTCCCGAAAACGTTGTCTAGCACGGTCGCGGTTTAAGAACATCTCCTGCGGTCGTGTAGACATCGTGATCGTCTTGCGCCGTCACGGAAACGTGATCGTTGTCTAGCGCGATCGAGGTAAAATCATGAAATTTCCCGACTTTGATATCAAAATAAAGAATAAATCCCAACTTTTCAAGACCATTTTGAAATTCAATACTAATACCTGACTTTCCCGTTTTCCCCGACTACTTAGACATCCTGGTTATTTATATTTTGACCTTGAAAATATAAAACAAAACCTTCCGATAAACCACTTCCTAAAATTATGGATTAATAAAGAAACACTTTGAATCATTGTAATGAAACTACAAAAGTATAACAAATATATGTAAAAAAAAATACAATAAAAGATGGCATTTAAATTAATTTATAGCATATATTAAATAAGTCAGTAAACTCCAATTCCGGGGGATTCCTTCAAAGTTGGCAACACTACTCCCAACTACCAAGTTGTTATGGAAACGGTCGCTAGCGCTTGATGCTGCAGCGGTGTGCGCCGTAACTACACATCACCCCTGGCGGTCGGCGCCGGAATATACGCTAACCGCAGCACAGCTGACAGTCTATATTTATTTCTTTTTGTCTATGGCGTAGCCCAAGGGAAATATAACAGGAATAGGCCTATATGTTAAACAGGTATATAAGCTATATTCATTTAAAATTTTATTTCAATTGGTTCAGTGGTTCTTGTGTTATTAGGTAAAGCCGCGTTTACACCGGAGTTTCAAACAAAAAGTTGCAAACTTTTATTGCAAACAGCAGTTGCAAACAGTAGTTTCAAATAAAAGTTTGCAATTTTTATTTCATGGTTTTGTTTCCATGTTTCATGAAAATGTTTGAAATAATTTCGACCTTGATTGAAACACCATTGATTGAAAAAAAAACTTCCACTTGGTTTTCACATCGTCGACCCCCGATCCAGACTTATTGCCCTTTTTAGATTCTCTGTTAAAATAAATTATGAGGTTCCTCATCTTATTTTGGACCTCTGCCTTGCTTAAGTTAATTTCCCGTGAAATGTCATTCCACGCCTAGTTTTTCTTGTTTTTGTTTTTATAGTCAGAAATAGTT